CATGAGGGCAGCCACAATGATTTTTGGGAAGTCTGGAGCAGGTACCAGCTGTGGTGGGGAGGGGAGTGTGTGGGAAACAGCCACGGAGATAGCTGACAGTCGTGGGAAGAATTCCTGGGGGGCAACTCTCCCCAAATGTTTCAAGTCACAGTAGTTCCACGGGATGTTTACTTGTATGGTACATAATATGTGATGGAAAAGTTTCCTGGACACACTGCGTTCCAAGCTAAACAGGTTTTTCTACTGTGGGACTTTTCCAGCCTCTAATATGCCCACTGGCATCATGAATACACACGATAAAGCTGCACATTAGTCGGGCCACCTGTGTTTCATACAGAACCATGGCGGTTGGGGTGGGGGCCGGGTAAGTGGATGGTGCCGATGAAGGGTCCTGTGGCTGGAGCAGGTCACACAGGACACCCTCGGGAAGAGCTGCCCTAGGGCGTGTGGTGCGGGCTCTTTAAGGAGCTGCTCTGCATCCCGTATAGTCCTGTAGGACTATACACCCCAAAAACAAACACCCCAAAAGTGATCTTTAGGCTCTTAGTAAGTGCTCTTTTCCTCCCTCCAGCCTAATCATTTAACTGGCCTTTGATACTGCTGGTAATGAAATTAAGGATATCAGTCCGTATAGGAAGGACAAGTGATTTAACCTGTAATTACTGAGACCAAAAATGTAGATCAGAGCTTCTGTACAATTGGCCGTCGACCCTGCATGGAATAGCCTTTTTCTCCCCTCCTTTAAAAGGCAGTGAAATGATATTTTAAAGAATGTATCAAAGGGACTCTGTCTGAAAACGTTAACAATGAGGTTGAAAAATGAGGCAGATGGAGTGTATAGGGATGGCTGAACCCATTGAAGGCCAGGGCAGAGTGGTTAGACAGTCTCATAGGCAGGAACTGCATTCTTCTTAACATGAAAGGCACTGTTTGCATGTCACCTTAGGCAGGAGCCTAAGTACAGATCATCCTTTACTCTTCTCTGATCCTCCTCTTCACCCTCAACCATTGCCATCATTCAGGACTGGTGCTGTTGCTTTCTAAACATAGCTACCAAGGAAATTGGAGGGGAGGGGGATGCGGCAGAGAGAGGCAGGTGTTCTACACATCTAAGGAATTGTACATCTCTTTCCCCATTTAAACCATGAATTATGTGATGGTGAGGATTTTGTCTTATTTGTTCTCCTGTCCCCAGTATTAACAGAGTACTTGGCACTCCTAATTGGGGAGTTACCAGTCAATACATTTAAGAAGGAACAAAAAGAAAACAGAGTGGAATAAGTCAAACACTTGGTAGGTTTTATCACTCTGCAGTTGACCATTAGATACTCTCAGTGCTTAAATAGTTTGTACTTTGGCAGCATAAAGATGAGAGCTATTGAGATTAAGTTTAAGTGGCCATAAGCATACTTCAATGTGAGCACCAACTTCAAAAACCAGCAATTGTGATTAGTATCAAATGGAGAAATGTTGAATGGAGGAAAAATGAAAAAAAAAGTCTATGGTTCCAGGACACACAGTTGCAATCATGGTAAAGAGTGAAGAATGTGATGAAATCATCTGGGGTTAAAATTATCTTCAGTAAATTCTCCATATGTCAAGACATCATTTTTTCATTACTAACACTGTTACTATCTTTAGTGAATAAGAGATCCATAGTTGATGTTCCAGGCCATACACTTGTAAGTAATTATTATATTAATTTGCAAAAGAGTCATTATTTGTTCAACATTTATCTGAAACATTCTATTGGGAATCCCTGAAAGTGGAGAGATTGGGCGCTAGAGCAAATGGCAGCTACAAAACTGAGAAAGTAAGGCAGCAAGAGCAAGTGCTGGGTGGTAGTAAATAAAATTTTAGGCAGTGGTGAGGGCAAATTTAAACCGACAGGAGGCAAAGGGGTAAGGGCCGTAGGAGGCTGGAGGGAAAAGAGACTAAGGATCTCATCCCCTGACCCCCTATGCTGGCACTGTATGGATTGGAGTGCCATACAAATAGTAATCATGGCACATAGTTACATAGCACTTACCACGTGCCTGCTGCTACTCTAGTACTTCCACTAGCACCGATGAAATCACAATCCTCACAACAACCTTATGGGGGGGTACAATTATGAATCCTATGCATTCTTATTTATAGGTGAGGAAATTGAAGTATAGAGAAAGTCAGTCAGCCATCCAGATAGTAAATGTAGAAGGCAGGATTTAGTTCTATGATAGTCCTATGACTGAGGTGCCCTGAAGAATGTTTAAATTGCAGTCAGGATATATTTAGTGCTTAAAGATATAATGCTTAATCATCTACAATAACTCGTGCAGTTAGCACGGAAACAGCCAGCTCTGAAGATCAAGGAAAGCTGTGTGGGTGTGCATGTGCAGAGCATCTGAGCCGCCCCTTTGATAGGTGATTCTCTCAGGGAAATTTAACATCGGTTATCAGATCTACCCACAAAGTAATGTACCTTGAGATCTCTGTGCTGTAGTCATTAATATCAAAGCTTAAAATTGTCATGAATCTTAGGCTCTGGCAAAAAGAGTGACGGCTTCAAGACTTGGCAGTTGATTGCATGAATGGGCAGCTTCTCAGAGACATTTCTCACCACCATCACAGTAGTAACATAGGGTGTGTGGATAAGCCCAGACATGGGTGTTATAAATTAGGAACCATCTATCAAAGAAAGCACAGCAGGCTATGAATCTCCTCCAACTCAAGATGGTGTCAACTAGAACCACCCTTTGCAAGGAAGCGAAAAGAAACATGTAATTGTGGGTTTTTTTCTCTGCTTCCACCTTCCGCTCTGGTCATGGCTGCAGATACAAACTAATTTTGGTTGCTTTAAATAGCAAGAACTTTCTGTAATCTTGACCAATAGATTTACTTGAACGTAGGTAAAAGGGGAACCTCCCTCCATGTGTGGTTGTGGGGGAGCGAGCTGCTTCCAGGTCTCTTCCCGACACAGGGATTCTGCAAGGAGCTGGGTCTCTGAAGGAACACCGATCCCAGGCACAGCAGAACACACTGACCAGACCGGTCCCAGCACCAGTCCGGCCTCATCGTGCACTGTGCACTCTCCATGCTTCCTTTGCAGGAATTCATGGTAGCTAACAGATGGTCACTCTGCAAGTGGGGAGCAGGGACTCGGACCCCTAAACCCACATTCAGATTGTAATATTTGCAGTTTCCTCCATAGCAGGCTCTGTGGCTGTGGACCTCATCTGTGAGCACCAACTTCAAACTAGAAATTTGACAGGCTTAATGAAAGGGGTTTCAATGCAGTTCATCTAGCAGAATTCTAACTGTATGGGACCACCAACAATAGCATTCTATGGGAATTTTGTTATTCTTTTCATCCCTGCAGGGTAGCAAAAAATAAATAAATCACTCAGTAATTAATTAGGGACATATTTTCTATTTCAGAAAAGTCAAATATTTCTAGTTGTTTTTAAAATATATATATTTTATTGATTTTTTACAGAGAGGAAGAGAGAGGGATAGAGTTAGAAACATCGATGAAAGAGAAACATCAATCACCTGCCTCCTGCACACTCCCTACTGGGGATGTGCCTGCAACCAGGTTCGATTTTTATTATACCAATATTAAATTCTTGGTGTTGATACACACACACACACACACACACACACACACACACCATGGTTTTGTAAGGTGCTTTGGAACCTGGGTGCAACTCTCCTGTAAATCTAATATTTCAAAATAAAGTTTTATTTTTTAAGGTATTTCTTTTACTTCTGTTCTCCTAAAAAGATTGCCTCCCCTAGAAAGTCACTTTTGTTCTCTTAAATCCAAGCAATCCTCTTATCCTGAGGGTGGGGTCCATTGTAATCTTCTAAGCTAGAGACGTGGTACAGTTGCGAGAGATGTTATGAGTGGATGAGGCAGGACAGACTTGGCCATAACAGGACCATAAAGATATGATCTGAAGTCTTGGATAACATGGCAAGAGATTTAGGCCTGAAGAATCCAAGAACTGAGTGGACTTTACTTTGAATGGAGGGCCAAAAAGTAAGCCCAACCTTAAAAATGTGTAAGAGCTATTCAAGAATGGTGTGGCAAAACAAACAGCCCAATCCAACGTTTTGCAAAGAGGAGACAAAGTTACCCTAAACCCATCAGAGGCATTATCTGCCACTCACAGGTGTCCTGCAAAAGAAGTCAGGTCAATAAAAGGTAAGCCATAGGGGCAAACTCTTGCGTTGGAAAACATGAGGCTGGATTAATTGATATTCTGAGGAGCCGCTGCAGGTAGCATAGGTTTGGACATTTCTTATAGGAGAAAAGACCCAGAAAGCTTAAGGAGACAGAGCAATTCAAAATGCTTAGGGCCAATGGCTAAAAAAAGATTACCAGTCATCAAGAGAAAACAGTATTTAAATAGGACAACCCCACCCCCATACTAATAGAATGTGATTAGTTAAAGCTGTGTCCAAGATAACAATTTAATCACTCCTGGTTCTTCTTGGGAAATTGGGACCAAAGAGCCTCTTTAGTTAATATGAATTGTCTTGAATGGGTGGACCATCTGGTTACAATTTGGGTTTCAACTCTGTTATGCAACTGGCATCCAAAAAGGGGATTGTCTCCAAATGTGAGTAGGCTGAGTCAGTCATAAACAAGCAAAGAGAAATTTAACTTTTTATTGCTAATATCCAAGATGTTAGGAGATGAAGTGTTGCATGAAATTGTGTTGTCTTTAGGTAAACTTCCTTTACCTTATGTGCTTTACCTAGAACAGTGGTCAGCTAACTTTTTTGTAAAAGGCCAGATGGTAAACATGTTTGGCTTCACAGTGATATATGGTTTCTGTTGCATATTTGTCACTATTTTTAAAAATAAACCCAACCATTTAAGCATGTGTTTTCTAGAGCCATCATGTTGAGGGCCATGTTGCTTCCAGGAGGAGTTGGAGAAACCACATTAGGCAAAGAATTTGCATCAACTTCAGGACTGAAATACATTAATGTAGGCGATTTATTACCTCAAGAAGGACAGTTATATGATGGCTGTGAGGAAGAGTAGGATTGTCCCATTTTAGATGAAGATAGAGTAGTTGATGAGTTAGAAAACCAAATGAGTAAAGGTGGAATTACTATTAACAGTTGTGAATTCTTCCCTGAATGCTGGTTTCAAATAATCACTCTTAATATTCCTCTGCCCACATAATATAAATTGTCCAAATAGGAGTAAATATTTTTATTAAAATTGTGCTGCAGAACTAATAGGTGGATATGTTTTATGTTTGGCTGATTTTGTTTTTGTTTTCATAGGAAAGCAAAGCAATCTCAAGTATAATGAATATAATGTTATTAAAGATTGAGAATAAAAACTGTCATTGTTTAATGCTTCCATTGCTAAAGAATAAATAAATCTGACCAGATGGGTAGATGGATAATCTTTTAAATCTATTACAGAAGAAAATGAACATGATCTCTTAAAATTAAAGTCTAAAGAGTTTTTTAAAAGTGTTTTCTTTTACCATATTTTCTTTTTTAAAATTTTATTGATTATTATTATTATTTTATTTATTATTATTATTATTTTTTTTTTTTGGAGAGGGAGAGAAACAGAGGAGGAGAGAAATTTTTTCTGTTTACTTATTCATACATTCTTTGGTTGATTCCTGTAAGTACGTTGACTAGGGATCAAACCCACAACCTTGGCTGTCCTTCACTAGACCCCAGCAGGTGGCCTGTAGGATTGCCAACACATTCTTGGGATCACCACAGAATGAAAGTCCTCATGCCCCTAAAAGACGAACTAACCATTTGGACGATCAGCTGCATTTTTTAGGGATATATTTGGCCTACTTCACAGTTTTTTAAGAAGGTCACACATTTAAAGATTTGAGCTTTTATTTCTTCTCTTTACAATTTTAGTAATATGCTGTGAAATAATTTTTTCTACATCTTACATTCAAGAAAGGCCTTTTAACTCTATTATATGTTCATGTCTCCTTTGTCAAATATTAATTGAGCATAGTGGTTTGGGTCTATATATGGGTTCTCTATTCTATTCCATTGGTCTGTATGTATGTTATTGTGCCAGTACCAGGCTGTGTGGAGAACAGTGGCTTTATAATACAGCTTGAAATCTGGTATTGAGATCCCACCAACTTTGTTCTTCTTTCTCAGGATTGCTGTGGCTATTCGGGGTCTTTTTTTTATTCCAGATGAATTTTTGCAGAGTTCTTTCTAGGTCTGTGAAATATGCTGTTGGTATTTTAATGGGGAGTGCATTGGACATTTTAATGATGTTGATTCTACCAATCCATGAACATGGTATGTTCTTCCATCTGTTTATGTCTTCCTCTATCTCCTTTTTCAGTGTTCTGTAGTTTTCCGCATATAAGTCTTTTACTTCCTTAGTTATAAGTTTATTCCTAGGTATCTTTTTGTGTGTGTGTGCAATGGTAAATGGGATTATTTTTTTTAGTCTCTCTTTCTCTAAGTTCACTATTGGTGTATTGAAATGCCATAGATTTCTTGGCGTTAATTTTGTATCCCAAGAAACTAGAAACACCAATGAGAAAGGATATATGCACCCTTATGTTCATAGCAGCACAATTCACCATAGCAAAGATTTGGAAATAGCCTAAATGCCCATCAGCAGATGAGTGGATTAGAAAACTATGGTACATCTATACAATGGAATACTACACTGCTATAAAAAAGAAGGAATTCCTACATTTGCAGCAGCATGGATGGAACTGGAGAGCATTATGCTAAGTGAAATAAGCCAGGCAATAAAAGAAAAATACCACATGATCTCATTCATTTATGGAAAATAAAGAACGTTATAACCTGATGAACAAAAAGATAGATTTAGAGGGAGAAAAGCACCGAAAGACTGTCAAATTACAGCAGGAAGGCTGGAGTGTGCTGGGGAGTAGGGGAAAGAGATCAACTGTAGGACTTCTATGCATGCATATAAGCACAACCTATGGACGCAAGACACTCAGAGTGTGGGATGAGGGCATGCGGCAAGGGGTAGGGAAGACAGGGGGAAGGTCAATGGAGGGAAAAAGGAGATATATGTACTATTACATGTAATACTTTAAACAATAAAATTAAATTTAAAAAAAAGAAAGGTCTTGTCATATTTGATTAAATAATGAAATGCTTAATCTAGTGGGCAGTCCACTTTAGCAGAAAGCTGTTCGATGAAAACTTCCTATGTTTGTTTGACCACTGGGTCTCTCAGAACTTCTCAGACAATACTTGGTACTCTTACCATCTTCTAAAATCAGTATTACCAACATAAATTTTAAAGGGAGCACAGACAAGAAAGCAGTAGTATGGTTTTTAACCAATATTATTTAACAATCATTTGAAATAAGAAGGATTTGTTTTTTTACTCAATAGGAAGTTGATTGGGTTTTATTAGCTTTTCTTGTTTTGACTAATAATGCCTTTATTTCTAATAGTTCTCTTTTCATAGATATTTGGATTCTGTAAAAATGGAACTATTTTTAACTAAATCACATTTTCTTGGCACACTTTTACTTAGTAATAGTGAATTCCCTGGTAGAAACAATTTTTTCTCCTGAGCAAGGTCCAAACTGTTGTTAATATCACCAAGTCAACTAGAAGAAAGGGAAATTTAATATGAGTGTAAAGAGAAAACACTGATATATGATTTCTTAAAAAGTCTCTGAAGTTCAACGTTTAACCTCTATGTTAGAAATCATACAAAAAATGTATGCATTTTCCCCCCTCTATCTCTCATGATGTATTTCAGTGTTTTAAAGCATATTTGGGGGTTTGAAATGTAAAAGCAGGACAGAGTTATCCATATAATCTAATCATTCTTTGGGAGAGGCAAGGCTATTAGCTTGTATATGCTAATTTGGAGTTGAGTGAGCTGGTGAGTGAGTGTATTTATTTATTTCTAATGGAGCCATTTTCCTCGTTCTCACAGTCTTCAGGTTGGTGCTTTCCTGCATTGCTTTTTCGAGTTGCTCACAGGCTGGATTCTTGAAAGGAATGCTTTTAACAAGTTAGTTGGGGCCCTCCAGTCCTCTCCTTAGCTGGCTTTATCTGCATCGATGTGCCCTGTTTGTAGCCCTGCAAGGAAAGGAGTTGTAAAAGTGAGTGAGAGAGAGAGAGAGAGAGAGAGAGAGAGAGAGAGAGAGAGAGAGAGAGAGAGAGAGAGGGAGAGAATATGCATGTGTACTCGTGCACAACAGTCTGTCCATGTGCATTATAAGGTTTCCTAAGCACATGGAACGAGATCTTTCCCAGGGAGACTCTTTTGTCAAGGTCAGCACACATGGGAAAAGCATTTCTGTGCTTAGTCTCCTAACGGAAGAAATTTAAGTCATGAGACATGGTTGTGCTCTGCCTCTGCATTTACCTGTCCTTTCTTTTTGAACTCTCGCAGGCAGCAGTACCTGTCCAAAGATCACTATCGTTCCACCCTTTTTGAAGAGCAGCACAACCACACTGATTGATCAGAATGTATCTGATGAAGAGGCTCAGGGAATAAATGGAAAAACGCCAGCAAAACACTCAGCTGCAAGTCCAAAGCCACAAGGTATGTTGATGGGGTGGTTCTTGGAATAGGTTGGGTACTTTTTTTTATCAGTGAAGGCAACCCAAAAGAATGGTGACCACTAAGGAAGAGTTTTAAGCTAAAAAATGGGAGGAATTGAGTGCATTTATTGTTTTCAGGAGAAAAGCCAGTCAGTGAACCTTCTTGGACAGAGTTGGGTATTTCCTCTGCTCCTAAAACACCTCATACGTTTCTCTGTCACAGTTCTTTTCATGTTTCAGAAATCGTTTATGTGTCCCCTTAAGGGGACTGAGGTCTGTTCATGCATTATGCCTGACTTAGCACAGGGCCTATCTTACTGTTTGCGTAATATATGTGTGACAAAGGAATGTGGGTTTAGAAGTACTGTCAGCAGTTCTTGTGACTTGCTAAATGTCAGAGGATCTGTGAAACAGATCATTCTAAAACAGCTTACCGTACTGAGTAAGAAGGTGCTTTTACAATATTAAGGAACTTGGGCTTGAAAAACCTTAATAAAGTCATCCATAGAAAATAAAAATAAATGGTTTAAGAAAGGAGTAGCCAACAAGTAGTAAAACAACCATAATGATGAATTTTTTCAGTAATTGTTTCTTTTTACAATAAATTTTTAACTGGATATTAACTTCGAGAAGCATGAAATTATAATTTGGAAGGTAGTAATGCCCTTTGAAATGTACTGTAAAGCTAAGCTCCATTATGGTTTAATGTGTAATTTCTTTCTAACAGGTTTTTCTTTATACTGAATGCTCAACATTCAGCCAAGAAACAAACTGGGCATTTGTAGAAGTACTATACTTTGGAAAAATCAATTTATATTTGGTTTATTTTGTATTTACTTTGGTCTCTTTCCTGTTATTGAAAGAAAAAAAGTTTTATAAAGAATGCATTATAAAAGAGCTGATGTTATTCTTGAAAGTTCTTCTGTTTTAAAGATTTCTGAAAGAGAATTTTAAAAGGGATTTAAAATTGAGTCTTCCACGTTATGAAATATTTTTCTTTTGTACTCACTATTAGCTGTATTGGTGGTGGCATGAGTTATGGCTAAAAGCAAGGTGAAAAAATTGGTGATTCAAATGAATGGTTTAATTCATGTGTTTATAACCTTTTCCTTTCGCCATACGCATCCCTATAACATTGATGTGAATACAAACATAGCAATTTTTTATCATGATTTAATTAAGCCATTTATTTGCAAAGTGCAAAATTTCATCTTGCTTATTAAACCTGAGCTGACAAAGATCAAACAGGGTAAGACTATGAAAAAAAGAATATAATTTAATTTTATGTAACTGCCCAGATCAAAAGCAAGAATTTCATTATTTATAAAGCCTTTTTATGGAAGTATTATTGCATTTCTTTATTGTTTCTCATAGTTCACTGAGATAAATTACAGAAGTGTCCTTCCTGAGCTGTGTGCTGAAATAATCATATTCTTTAGGGAGACAACGTTTAACCTTGCTTTTACTGTCTGTAGTTATATGAAAGTCAATGTATTGCTACTTTAGTACATATTTAGTTCCTATTTTGAATGTATACATTCATGCATACAATGTTACATAACTACTACATACTTTCAAGTATGAAGAGTACACTCTAACATGATAAAAAGTATAGTATAGTATAGTAAATACATAAACTAATAACATAGTTGTTTATTATCAAGTATTATATACTGTACATAATTGTACATGCTGTACTTCTATGACTAGCAAGTAGTAGGTTTGTTTACAGCAGCATCACCTATGACAGCTACAGACATTGGGCAATAGGAATTTTTCAGACCCATTATAATTTTTTTAAATTACATTTTATTGTTTTTTTACAGAGAGGAAGGGAGAGGGACAGAAAGTTAGAAACATTGATGAGAGAGAAACATTGATCAGCTGCCTTCCGCACAGCCCCCACTGGGGATGTGTCCGCAACCAAGGCACAGGCCCTTGACCGGAATCTGACCTGGGACCCTTGAATCCACAGGCCGACGCTCTATCCACTGAGCCAAACCGGTTTTGGCAAGACCCATTATAATTTTTAAAGGGACCAGTCATATATTGACTGAAACATTTTTATAGTTCATGACTGTACTCAATAAATTAAATAAGTACTTTATACTTCTTTTAAAAAATTCCTTTTCCCTTCTTAAATTCACATTTGTATAGGAGGAATCTAATACTTATCAGTCAAGATTCACTTTTGTTGTACATTACAATTAAGGCATAAAAAATATATTTTCCCCCAAGAAACAATAAACTGTACTTCATTGTTGTTTAACAAGTTGGAAAAAAAATGTTTAAAAGAAATATTCTTGACCGGTCCTCATAGCTCATTTGTTTAGAGCTTTGTCCTGATATGCCAAGGTTGTAGGTTTGATCTCAGGTCAGGGCACATACAAGAATCAACCTATGAATGCATAAATTAGTGGAACAAGAAATCAGTGTTTCTCTCTTTCTCATCCTCTTCCCCTCTCTCTCTGTCTAAAATCTGTATATTAGAAAAAAATTCTCACTCATTTTTGTCCCTTCCTTAGCTCCCTTGGTAAAATTTAAACCACACCTCCTACTTTGACATTTCATATTTCCCCATCTTTACTTTTTGTTCTCATCCATTACAACCTATTATATATTTTATTAATCCACAATAATTTTTTTTTCTTGCCTTTTGCACTGCTGCACCCCCCAAACCTGCCGCATAGCATAGCAGACTTCAGTAATACTTGTTGAATGAATCCCTACTTGATCACCATGTTTCCTCCACTTTCTTTGTTTCTGCTATTTTTTGTTTACAATGTAGAAAGTGTGCCCTATAGAGACCAATATCCCCGGAGTGAGGATGTATCTTGGTATTGGGAGATCAGCTGCCAAATAGATTGGGCACTGCTTACTGACTTACCTACCAGTAAGCAGTGTTCCTCACCCTCTTGTGAAAGGAAGCTACTTTTCATTTCTCCAAACCCTTACGAACACCTGGGTGACCAAGTCCGAGAAAGGAAGGGGATGCTAATGTCACTTCCTGTGCAGATGCAGGGATTATCACAACATCCCCTGTGTTTTCACTAACATACTGCAAATCCCTTGTAAGTTATAAACGGTGAGGATGCTGAGGCTTCCAGATTTAAATTGGAGTCTTCTAATTTAATTGAAGATTCTTGGTCTAGATCAGTGGTTCTCAGCTGGAGGCAGTCTCTCCATTGGTATTGTCTAGAGACTTTTTGCTTGATACAATTTGTGGGAGTCGCTACTGGCTTTTGCTAAGTAGAAGCCAGAGATGCTGCTCAATAGCCTATAAGAACAAGTCAATAGTTGAAACTGGTTTGGCTCAGTGGATAGAGCATTAGCCTGCGGACTCAAGGGTCCCAGGTTCAATTTCAGTCAAGGTCACGTACCTTGGTTGCTGGCACATCTCCGTGTGTGCGGGAGGCGGCTGATCGATATTTCTCTCTCATCAATGTTTCTAACTATCTCTCTCCCTTCCTCTCTGTAAAAAATCAGTAAAATATATTATTAAAAGAACAGGTCAATACCCCTACCCCATCCCACCCCAAAGAATTATCCAACCTGAAATGCTAATATAAAGCTCTGATCTAGATTATAAAAACAGCTCATAATTAAATTTTTTGTTTTTCATGTGGCATACTAATAAGATCATAGCTATAACTTATTATGGTGAATTTTAAAAGAAGACACGGTATTGAATAACTTTATTAGTGGTGTTTATGTAGTAATGTGTCTGGAACAACCTCAGGTTTATGTTTATTAATTACCAATAAGTAAATATTTTTTAAGAATTATAGTTTTTTTAAAGGATAAAAGAGCCAAATTTTAGATTAGAGATTTGATAACCTTGCCATTTGAATCTAAATTGGAGCCTGTAGATTTAAAAGTGGGTTCCTTCAATAGTTAGCCCTTGTTTTCCCTCCCCCTTGGAAAATACCCTGAGGCTCGGAAAACAATGGCTTATTCAATTCATACCAGCCCTACCAGTCAAACAAATAAATTACTGAGAAACTTCAAATGTGTCTTTCCTCTTGTTCACTGCTTTTAAAATTGGCCTACTTCCTGCCATGCTAGACAGGATTCAAAATAACTTTCTTAGCAATTAAAGCTAATAGTTCTTTTTCCCTTAAAGAGCTTTGATCCACAACATTCTACATCGTTAATTATTTTGATGAAACCCACATTTTGTCACTTCTTCATTATTAAACCTAAGTGTTTAGAAAAGTTTCAAGAGCTTGGAAAGCCACATTATTATTTGAATAATCTGAATATATTTAAAGTACTCAAATCTATTTCATTTGCTTCTAAAGTAAAGCATTCTATGTAGAATGTTCAATTCTTAAGTTATAACACTATAAATTTATAATGTATTAATATATAGCCAGCTATTGTTTTTCATAGTAAAATAAAAGTAATTGAAATGTAGTGGGCATTCCCACCCTGGGCTAGATCCCCCATAGGGGGCTTGCAAGAGGCAGCCAATCAGTGTTTCTCTTCTCATTGAGGTTTATCTCTACCTTTCCCTTCCACTCTCTCTAAAGTCAATAAAAACAAATTTTAAAAATGTAGTGGGCAAAAAGGAGAAACCAAGATGGGGCATAGGTAAATGCCTAACTGCAGCCTCGCACAACAATTACAAAAAATACGACTAAAATACAAAATGGACATTATCCAGAACTATAGGAAAGTTGACTGACTGGAAATTCTACAACTAGAAGGAAAGAGAAAACCAGAAGTAAAATCAGAGGAGCTGTAAAAACCTATGGAGACACGGTGCACACGTGGGGAGAGGACAGAGCTGGAGAGGAGGGGGCATCTGAGTGCCTAGCTGGCATTCTCTAGTGGGAAGGAGATAAAAGCTCCAGACTGTGCTGAACCCCAGTTCCAACTGCACTGTACCCCAGTTCTGGGCGAGACCCTGGGGACCCAGGCTCATACAGAGGGAATCTAGGCTGTAAGGCAGAAACTCAGGGGAGTGGCAAAAGGCAGAGTCCCGGAGGCGTGCACATTGTGTGCAAAGGACAGACTGTTGACTGTGCGCTGGATTGCCCTAGCGGAAAGGAGACAAAAGCTCTGGACTGCACTGAACCCCACTTCCAACTGCACTGAACCCCAGTTCTGGCCTCATTGTGGGAAAGACTAGACTGTCTGGTAGCAGGCGAAACTTGAGGGCATCTTTCTCTCAGAGGTGCTTGCAGTGAATACTAAAGGACACTGAGGAACACTGAGACTCAGAAACTTCATAGGGTGGAGCTGACATGAAGCCAAGGCTGTAGGCTCCACCCTGAAACTCCACCCCATCCAAGCTGAGCACAGAGGCTTCTGCAATTTTCCAAGTCTAGTTGAATAAGGCTGTCTCTAGGCATAGACACAGCTGATCCTCACAGACAATTGGCCTGGAGGTCAGTTCCTCCCAGTGATACCAACAACAATCAAGACTTACCTACAATGGCTGTACACCCAGTCCACAAAGGGGTGCACCAAGAATGTCCACCTCAGGTAACTGGGAGGCTGACCAACTGAACCATATAGGACACCTTAGCACACAAAGCCACCCTACCAACTCAGGGAAGCTGTGAAAATGCCGAGACAAGGAAACAGATCACAAACTAAAGAAATAGAGGACAACAAGCGACTGGATATAGAGTTCAAAACCACGCTTATAAGGTTTTTCAAGAATTTCCTAGAAAAGGCCGATAAAATAAACGAGGCCTATGAGGATATGAAAAGGGATCAGCTAGAAATAAAGAATACATTGTCTGAAATAAAAAACATTATACAGAGTCCTAAAAATAGAATGGAAGATCGCAAGAATCAAGTCAAAGATTTGGAACATAAAGAGCCAGAAGACACTCCTCTGCAGAAGCAAGAAGACAAGAGAATCCAGAAAGTTGAAGATAATGTAAGAAACCTCTGGGACAACTTCAAGCGAACCAACATCAGAATTATGGGGTCTCAGAAGATGAGAGAGAGCAAGATACCAAAAACATATTGTAAGAAATAGTGACAGAAAACTTTCCCCACCTGGTGAAAGAATTAGACTTACAAGTCCAGGAAGCGCACAGAACCCCAAACAAAGGAATCCAAAGAGGACCACACCAAGACACATCATAGTTAAAATTCCAAGAGCAAAAGACAAAGAGAGAATATTAAAAGCAGCAAGAGCAAAGAAGGTAGTTACCTATAAAGGAGCAACCATACGATTGTCAACTGATTTCTCAACAGAAACCATGCAGGCCAGACGGGAATGGCAAGAAATATTCAAGGTGATGAATAGCAAGAACCTACATCCAAAAATACTCTACCCAGCAAATCTATCACTTAGAATCAAAGGCCAGTTAAAGAGCTTCACAAATAAAAGAAAGCTAAAGGAGTTCATCATCGCTAAACCAAAATTATTTGAATTGCTGAAGGGGGTTCTTTAGGAAGAGGAAGAAAATAAAGATAAAAATTTTGAACAACAAATACGTGAATCTAAAATAATAAGTGAATCTAAAAACCTAGGGAATTAAAAAATCTGATGAACAATATTAACTGGAGAATATAATAAAATCAGAGGTATGGAAGGGGAGTGAACTGACAATTCTCGGGGAAAAGGGGAGTGGGAGGTGCAGGAAGAGACTGAATATAAACTGTGCACCTATGGATGAGGACAATGGGGGGTGGGGAAAGGGCAGAGGGTGAGGTGGGGACCTGGTGGAGGGGAGCAATGGAGGGGGAAAAAATGAGGAACATTTGCAATAATATGAACAATAAAGATTTTAAATAAATGAATGAATAAATAAATAAATAAATAAATAAAGTGGAAACTTAAAAAAAAAAAATGTAGTGGGCATCCCCAAACTTAAACTGCAATTAGTGTCTTTTTCATTCATAATAATTTTCTTTGCTTAGTTGAAAGTTTTTGAAAAATTAAGTTGTTTTGTTCTATTTACTGTCTGTAAAATTGGTTGTAATAGAGCCCATTTTATTTATAGTCATCTAGGTATCTCAAGCTTAGCATGTCCAAACTTGTGCTTTCCTTCCTCCAAAAAATGTCCTCCAAAGTTGCCAGTTGATGACAATTCCATCCTTTCAGTTGTTCAGGCCAAAGGTCTCTAGAGTCAAGGATTCTTGAGCCCTCGCTTTTTCTCTCAGACCTCACATTTAATCTACCAGGAAATCTACTTTTAAAATATACCTGGAATCCAACTCTTTCACTATCTCCTTCTAAGCACTGTTATCGCTTGCCTGAATTTTCACAATAGCCTCCTGACTTTTCTACTCTTCTACTTCTACCCATCTCCCTTAAATTCTCAACACAGCAGCCAGAGTGAGGAGGCCATTGGGGTTTATGCCGTATGTCCCTCCTGTGGCCAGAACTCTGCAGTGTCTTCTCATTTCACTCATTTCAAAATCTATAGAAAGTTGTGGTATCAGGCCCTGCCTCTGATCTCAGTCCCTGCTCTTCTGTGCTGGCCCCTTTGGGTTCAGTCACACTGGTCTCCACTGGTCTTCAGCTTTTACTGTACATGATAGGATGCTTTTCCTTATCTCCCTCAACTTCAAGTCTTGGTCAAATCAGAATTTCTCAGAGAGGCCCACTTTACACACTCTACTTAATACTGCAGTCTGCTCTTTTCCCTCCAGTCCCTACACTTCTGATCCCTTCTGTCTTATTCTTTTAACCTTTCCCCCTTTTTTTTCTTAGCACTTACCATCTTGTGATGATATATGGCTTACTTGCTATGTTCCCCCCCCCTTTTGTTCAT